TAAAAATAAGTCAATAAAAATAAGTGCTAAATAACACACACACACACACACACACAATGTTTCGATTACAGTATCGCAAAATATTAAAGTATTCTAATATGAATTTATTAGAATTGTGGAACTATTCAAAGGATCAAAATTATCGATCGATCTTAGAAAGAACGCTATTCATCCTAATTACAATAACAAGCATTTATTTATCACTGATATCATTAGGAGTAGTGTCAGATTTTTTTATCAATTCAACATATTTTGCGTAATCACACATCAAAGAAATTGTTTATTTCAGTTAAAAGTACACAGTGTAGTTTAGAGTATATTGAAGAAAAAGATGCTAAACGCTTGAACGTAGCTGATTCCGTAATTCAATTACTTTACGCCGGTCATCAGGAGGCAATAAAGCGATCTGCTCTTCACTTAATTGCAATACCTGAAAAACTCCTTTTGGAAATCATGAAAAAAAAAAGCAACATTTATCAAGACTGCCGTATGGTGGTGAGCTTTACCTATCCCCACCAGACCGGAAAAAATGGAAAGAATTTCTCCAGGATATACCATTCCATCGTAGTGAAATGTTAGAGGACAAGTATCTTCTGTATATCATTTTCTACAATTACCAGTGACACTATGAAAGGTTTTGTGGAGACAAAGAGAATTCATGTATAAGAAAACTTTAAAATTAAAAAAGAAGGGGGAAAAAAACACACCTGCATCAACAGTTGGGCTTGCTGCTGATCGTCAGGGCTAAGCTCGGAATTGGTTCCTTGTGGAGAAGGAGCACGAGTAACTGCAGGTCCTGATGGAGGTCTAGCGAAGTTAACTGGCACCGATGAAGCTGCTGAAGGCGCCATTTGTGGCATTCCTCCAGGAAACATTGGCTGTGGTATATTAGGTACTGTTGACATCGATACTGGCACCGATGTATCTATAACCTTATAATCATAAAATCCAAGTACCTTATTCAGAAAACAAGTAAAGAACAGCTTTGACCTGGATATGCCTGCTGTTGCTGTTGCTGGTGAAACGGTTGTGAAATTGCAGGCGTTTCCCGATGAAGCATCGCAACAGCCACTTGTGGATCAACAATTCGCATAACTACTTGCGCCTGAAAGATCAAAACTCAAAATAGTTTTTAGGACTTCCTGAGAAGACATAATTAGTGTCGCTAATGAATTGCCGTGGAATATCGTATATCGTGAAAACATGAAATTAGCATTCAATATTCAAATGTGAAACTGGTTTTTTTTTTTTTTTTTTTTCACAGGGATTATCCATGCATACAGTGCAGTACATTAAGATAAGATCTCATTTCAAAAGAGGATTACAATGTCACCCTCAATCAACTAAGCTACTCGGTAATCCCCACTTCCTCGTTCTTATTTCTTTAAAGTATATCTCGAATTAATACGGACTCTATGATACAATAAACATCATGCATTTCGAAAGATTAGGTTTCTAACAAAACCTGCAAAAGAGCATATGCAAGCTGTGGATTATTCATGAGTAAATTTTTGGCTTCATTCGGATTGTTATGAACGCACTGTTTCATTTGCTTCATTAATTCAAACATTTGTTCGGGTGGCAAAGACGCTACCGATCGCGAAATAGCTTCAGGTACTTTATCTGCCTCAGTTTCTGGACCGTATGGACTTTCCTGCGCTTGCTGCTGCAAATACTGAAAGAACTGGGGAGATATACCTAGAAAAACGCGTTTTTTGCAACAATCAAAAATTTCAAGAAGTATAACAATTAGAAATTTAAAAGGGCCGATAAATAAACTGCAGAATTAATTCCAGCTAAATTTTCATGCCATGTATGGAAAAACATAAAGAACCACTTTTGTTTTTCTAATGAAAACATGCAAATATGAATGTAACCTCTTGCTGTTGAGCAGCAAAGGCTGCTTGTAATTGTTGAACTTCATCAGCACTACGATCACCACCAGCTGCTGAATCAACTCGTAGCGGACGCCCGTTAAGTTCAAAGCCATTAAGATTCCTGAATCAGAAATTGCATAAGCAAATGGATGCGAATTCTTTGAAACCTAATATGATGTTCGCAATGTTATTGAATAGGGGCTGCAAATTCATTTATTCACAAACATCACCTCCAAAAGAGATCAATCGAGATTCAGAAAAATGTCTGGGATTGAGATACTTATCTAAAGGAACATATGATCTTTAGAAGTGCAACATTTATAAGGTAGAAGCTCAACTTCATTTATTTAAGGTTCTATATTCATAACAGTCTTTATAGTCTTTACTGCTAAAAAATTTTGGAAACGTTCCAGTCAGAACTACCTGATTGCACTTTCGGCAGTTTGGGCATCATTATATTCGCAAAATCCATAACCTTTCGGTTTACCCGTGTCGCGGTCATGAACTAGCCGCAGATGAACAACTGGTCCGACCTGCAAAATGCAATTAATAATACGAATAAAACAACATGACGCGAAGAAAGTTGATTTAAGGTATTTTTCCCAGGAAGAACTCCTGTTCCATGTTTTGTCACTACGAGTCATTAAATTAACAGACCGTCTGGAAATCGACAATGATTGCATAACACAGAAGTGATTATATACAATACCTTAAAAGTGACTAATGATACCAAAAGTCAACATCATTTAGTTCAACTTCACTGCAATTTCGGCAACTACTACTAAAGAGAACAAGCAGAAAAAGAAGTCATAGAAAATTTAGCAACAATTTACAATGCTGAACTACAGTTCTCACTCATCCGACGTCAACCAAATAATCAAAATAAAAAATGAGTCGAAATTACAAATTTACAAATTTAGAGTAGTAAGGTATCCGGAATTATAAAACATATGTAACTGATAAATTCAAAAACATGAACAAAAAGATCTTTGAATCAACAAAATTTTTCGACGCATCTAGTGCAATTTTGCCGGAGTTTACAGATAAAACAAAATAGTAAACATGAAAATGATAAAAAATTATTGTTACTAACCTGAGCAAACACTTGCTTTAACTGTTCCTCGCCCACTTCATAAGAAATATTACCAACTAAAAAATTGTGAGCAATTCTTTATTAATGTAAAGAAAGAAAGCAGGAAGTTTTTCAACATCTGTTCCTAAATATCCGTCCAGTATGTTCAGCAAACAAACGACGGCAATATGACTGCTCAAGAATATATAACGAATAAAGTGGGAAAATTTTTTGCTCTGTAATTTTTACAAAATCAAAAAAACCATCAAAAAAAAACGCTGATATAATTTATTCAGTAAATCTCAATGAAAAAAACAAACCAAAAACAGATCGCGCTGATCGATCAGTTGCGGAAGGTGCTGTTTTTGTTGTACTTGTTACAGCGCTGTCACGTTCGCGATATGCCATCAGAGAGAAATGATGAATCAATAAATAGATGATTGTTTACAGATGTGAAAATGCAATCAAAGCCACTTTAAAGAAGAAATGCTGCAGATAAGAAAATACGATTAATCTTGTTATCAGTTAAACGACAATCCTATATAAAAAAGTAATGATATTAACGAATAAAATGGGGTGACAACATTGTATGGTAACTGACAATGTCATAATGAATCAAAGAACAGTATGGATTAATGTAAATTATAGTTGAAAATTTCAATCTTTTTTTCATGAATTCTGTTTCCTCTTGAAACATATGGTGATCGACTACATATGTGACAAAAATTTTAAAGATTCTTAGAACAAGTTTAAGTTTCATCTTTGATTAGTCGACTTTGTCAACTTTAACATTATTATTCTTTTTTTTGGCGAAAAACAACCTAGTGGACAGGAATGACGCTTTAAAAAATTTCAACGAAAACCCGCAACTTGGCAAGTTGCGCCCGTCCTACTTCCCACCGAAAACTAACAAAGAAATATCAAATTGGAAGAGGGACGGACCGCTATTTTGTCGCATCTGCAATAAAATCCGGACGGGAGTGACGGGCAGTTTCAGGACAGATTGGGTGACACTACTATGCGGGCCTTTCTCTTCAGGAGTTAGTTTGAACTTTGACTCCTATTTGAACTTTGACTCCTATTCATGACTTGAATTCAAGGCTTTGAGGAAACTAATATGATAATAATAAGTTTAGAAAGGTTTACTGCAAAAGATTTTAGATTACTACGAATTAGTGTGCAAAAATCCATGGTTATTTTACCATGACCTTTGATCCGAATTTGGACTTCCGATAAAAGCGAAAAATAGGCGTTGTAGAAATCAAATTTTCCTCTCGACAATCGGTTACTTGTTTTCCCGGCAGCTAAAAGCATCATATACCGTTGCACATTCCCTTCCATACTTTTTCTTTTACGGCAGTGGAAATGAAATTCCCGTTTCATTTCAAAAAGAAATATCTTCTGTTCTAGATTCATTAATAGTCCCTTAATAGCTGAATCAAATATTCAACTACCTTACTAAAATGTAGCTTTTAGAAAGCAGCAGCGTAGTTATGAATGAATTCGTGTACGTCCTAGCATATAGATTGATTTATTATATTTTTTATTCGTTAAAGAACACTTCCATTCATTTCAGTCTTCGTCTTGTCGGTTTTACTTTAAATTATATGACGGTTGCTGTATAAATACTACTCGGGAGAGAAAATTTGAATCTTCTCATTGCTCAACTAAAATAAATGGTGCTATTTTTTTGGAATGTTTATTATTTGAGAAGTGTGATGTAACCATTTGATCTAATGAGTTATTTCAGATTTAAAGGAAATGATTGATGTACTACTGGCATATATTGTATAATCGAATATGGTTAAAGGTCGTGAAATCACAAAATTAGGGTTTATTAAAGGACTTGCTAAATGTTATAGGATGCATAACTTCTCGTACTTTTCGAAACAAAACAAATGATGGTGTGAAAATGCTTCAAAAGCCGAAATTGCATGTAAATGTTTAAAAATTAAAATAACACAAAGATACCATAGAAATCCATGCAGAAAAAAAAAAGTT